AGGAATTTCACACGTCTACATTCCTCTGGTATTTCTGTTATCAGAAAAAGAAGATTATAGGATTATAGGATTACAACTATCCTTCTGCTTTATGTCGCTAGTGAAAGGAATGTTGAACACGATCTTCATTCCCTACTTTCTGTTGACTTCCACGTCAGTAGGGAAAGATTTTTACATAGACACGCGCAATTATTTCATTCGTTGGTACAACTAACATGTCTGAGACATTGGGAAATTTCGCGAAACTTTTGTACGTTTTAATACGAAAAAAATAGAAAATTTTTTAAAATTATAAAAAAACCTAAAGAGAAAATCACAAATTGAAGGGAGAAACTGACTATGTATCGTAATTGGTAGTCTTGAAGCGTAATAAGACACACGATGAAATTGATTCGTTATATTTTTGCAAATTTCATTGGATCATGCCGCTTGAAAAAAGTTCACTGGAAGAAAATTACGTGGTGCAGTAAGGAATTATGCAAATGAGTGGAAGGTAGCTATTGACACCTACCCTGCATAGTAGATGCTATCACTTTCCCATCGATGGTAGCGTAAAGATGTATTATTAGACGATCAAGTGTTTCCTATAATCCAGTTCGAGCTCAAATATTCAGGATATCAGGAAAGAAGAGACGATGATCGCCTGTTTTCTTTTAAGAAGACTTATCTTTATCGCCTTTTATGAATTTCATATTTTATGAAGTTGATATCGACGAATAAATATTACAGCGAAATTTACATAGAGGTTGCTATCGCCCCTTTTATTTTGACTTTAAAAATTAATGTGCTCGCTTTCTCAATTATTCGCGATTTTTTTTAACTTAAGGATCAGCTAGCGAAAATGGAAATTTTCTCTTGTTTAATAGAATTAATTTAAATTGAAATCGATTCGCTGTCTATTAATTTAGCGAAAATTATCAAATTGGCAACTAAGCGATTGTGGATTTTGTCAATACCACCTAATGACAAAATTCATTTTCACTTAGTAATTAGCAACAATTCTCACGTAAAAATACATAAAATATAGAAATCTGGAAATTCCAGCAATTGTGTAATTACGAAACGCAACGTACTGTAGCGGTACTTGACAGTATACTTCCCAACAGTTTACGTCGCGTGACGCACGACACAAAGACCCTATACCTGAGGACAAGATGATTGCAAGATGTAGATAAATTTGTACGGAATATTTCTAGCTAGTCTAAGGACCGCTATAAATCTTAGGATTTATTTTAGCTAAGGTCCTCCAAAGAGACAAACAGTCTTTGTTTATCAGTCTCGAAGTCGACCACCTACCACGGGGACACACGAGAAATCTGCTATCTCTCACGTACGATGCTTCCCGCTAGCAACACCCTCTCAAGGGTAGCTAGCATCCTTTTCCAACGACCAACACGAATTAGCCAATAAACATTAACGTACATTTCCCTCACTTTCCGAACCAAAGCTTTTCTCAACGAATCCGATGCCTTCGCATCCTTAGACACATCCCAACGCGGTCTTCCTCCGCAGCAGCATCGCGACAAAAGAGTCGGTCTATTACCGCGAGTCAACATATCACGATCGTTATACTTACACGGTTCGAGTCGAATAATTATTTAAGCTTTCGACATCGTGCAATCATTGTCCGCACCCGCAGCGCATCGCGAATCGTAGCTATCCAAGCTCTATCTTATAACCGCGCATTCGCGAACCGAATATAATCGCGAATCCTGCGTCAAGTGCACTCATTGACATTAGAGTGAATAAATATTTATCGTTCGATAAATCTGAGTTTTCCTTCCGACCCTATCACGACATATCACCTCAGTACAAACTTCGTTCGGCTCTTGTATTTCAAGAATCCGATCTTTCGGATTATAATGCTGAAATATTACTTACAGTCTAATCATTATTAATAAATTTATTTCTCTGAGGCCACCGGTGATCCTCCATAACGTTAAAGTGCAACTTCGCTCGTCTCACTTAGTAATTCACATTTCTTAGGTACCTTAAATTATCTGTTTGCGTTGGGAAATGTTTGTTCTGTTCTGTTAGGTGCCCGGGACCTGCCGGTACCTAAATCATAAGCCATCCCTTGTTGGTACTTATTCGAACCAGGAGTAAAGGACCATTACAAGGTTTAACACTTTTTGCTTTACTGCGAAAGTCCTTAATTGCCACTAAATATTTGTCGGGTCAAAACTTTTCTTAAAATTATTGCTTGTTACAGCAAACGTGGTAAAAGTGGGTTTTCTCGCATTCTACAGCTATTGGTAATGGAATGCATATAATAAATCAAACAAATTCGAAGGTGGTATCTCAATGGGGGTAGCCATTTACATGTTATTGTACCATTAAGCTATAATATTTTACAAAATGTCCTACTGGACAAATTGTAAAATGTAAATAAAGAAATAAAAAGAAAATATACAGGGTGGTTGGTAACTGGTGGTACAAACGGAAAGGGGGTGATTCTATGCGAAGAAAGAAGTCGAAAATATACAATAAAAATTTTTATTTTTAATTTTTCCATCGAGACAACGATCTATAGTGAGATTCGTTATAACGAGACGCGATAAAGTGCAGGCGTACCGAGCGAAAATTCAAAGTCGATTTTCTCGAAAACAAAGCCTCGAACGAAAAATTGTTATTCTATATTTTCGACTTCTTTTTTCGCGTAGAATCACCCCCCTTTCGCTTGTACCACCAGTTACCAACCATCCTGTATAAATAAAACTATTTTTATATGTTTTATACTGCATTAATTTCGTCACACCATTGTATAATAGTAACGATGGTAATAATAACAAATGTATAATTATTGACATTTGTTCAAATTATGTATTTCTACTAATTTTGGTGCGTCGGTCACCGGTGAACTGTAGGGTGCCATGGTCAGTGGCGACCTCTACGGCATTCAACGTGTTAAAGACGAAAGGATCACGATCGCAGAGAATCTTAAAATCACGTCGATTATAGGACGTAATCTGTGGCCTCGTGTCATTTTTCTTTCGACCCCGGTTTCACGACACATTTGTATGCGCCAGGCTGGCGAAAAGACGACATTTTTTTCGGGAGATACGAGGTCGCGCGTGTGCGACTAACTAAATTGTAATGGTTCGTCGGCTGCTTTACGAGAACCGATTCCTCGTCTTTCTCTGCGTGTTCTCGAGTACGAGACGCGATGCGACGTGAATACAAATTAATCGTTTGAGAACTAGCACACGGGAGATATCTCGCGCGGTTTCTGCTTTTGAGGGAACTGTTACGGTGTTTGCAAGAGAAGTGGAACTTGAAAGTAGGGCTCAAACGTTTGAAACCGGAAATCCAGGCTCTTGGTATACAATTTTAGTAAAATATTCCTCTTTTACGTTACTCGTCTCATTAAATTAGCATTAATTAGTTTAGTAAGTCTCATACGTATCAATTTATCGATATTTCCAATTTCACGATTAAAATTCATTTTTAAACATCGTGATACTATCAGCACCGTGTTCTTCGCTTATTCTCCTTTCGTATCGTACTTTTAACACTTAGCCAACCGAATAGGGAGATCCCCCCTCTGTGAAGAACATCGCCGAGGTGACCGAACGACGAGATCTCCCTTTTTGACTTTAGCAACGCGTTTTCCTTTTTTTTTGTTGTTGTTATTATCAGTTATTATCTGCTTTTTTTAAAGTACAGTATATAATAAAATACACCAATTTAGTGGCGTTGAAATTAATTATAAAGTTAGAGTATCAGTTATGGCTAAATAAAGTTATAATCGAACGATACCACACTGTAAAAAAATATTAAAATGCATTGTGAATTTTTCATTTCACGTTCAAGTCGTGTTATTTATTTTTGGTTATCTTTAATGTTTTTAATTTTACATTTGATTTTTTGTATAAACAATTTGCGAAATCGTTGAATAAAATTATTACCGCAAAATATATTTTATAAATAAGTGCAATTAACCATTTAAATAATTTTTAGACTTCTTTCTTTTTTAAGTAATGAATATTAGTCCTCGATACGTGGAAAAATACGCAGTGGAAAATTATAGCTCGCTGTGGTATCCGCCGTTGGCTAAGTGTTAAGAAATTGTAGTTTTTTACTAGATGTATTCTTTTGACATTTTTTTAACAGAAAAGACCAACGCTATTTAACAATAAGATTATCGATGCTTTGACGGTCGACGATCCACGGTCAAAGAGAGAAACATCAGAGTCAACTAGATTTTGTTTACATTAAGGGTCCTTCGGAATTTTAAAAGTTGCCCGAAAGAAACGAAATTGAGACGCGATATGTGAGGTAGGTAAGTGTCTAGTCGTTTAATTAGCGCAGATATGCTTTCGAAAATTTCCCAGTTCCGGAGGGTTGCGTTCCTGAGAGGTTTATTGGAAGCTTAGCTATTTTTATGGGCCACCTGTTAGACCGACCATCGTTTCTCTTTCGTTACCTTTTATCTTCTTTTTCCCTTTGTTTCTCTACCCTTAGTATCGACGTGAGCTTTGAACACGTAACCCAGATATCGATGCGTTTGAAAACTCGAAAACAGAGCTCCAAGATTTTCTAAAATATTACATGTCTTATCCAGCACCAAGGTCATATTTTCAAAAGACTAATACGAACGAAAGATTACAATTTGTACGTATAAGAATACGTCCATTAAACGATAACGTTAACTTTCAAATATTCCGCAAATTACATCGTTGCATCGACAAATAACCATTAAAACTCAGTCAAAGAGAATTAAAGTGTCAAAAGTATCCACAAAATTCGCTTAGCAATAAACCCATAAACTCTATAGAAAACCATCCCGAAAATAGGCAGACACGACCCAAAAGAATGACTGAGTTGGTTAAAGCCGTTAAAATTTAACCAAAAATCAAACTTTCTCTCTACCGACCCTATTATTTTTGTTTCTCTCGCATCCTCGAGCACTAAAACCTTTTCACGCGTCGTCGACTGCAACCTATCCCTGATAACACCCTTTCGCAAAAGGTTAAACGGCCAAGTCTATATTTTAATAGCTGCTACGAACAGGTTGTCCAGGTCAAGGATCGCGACGACGTCCAGAAAAGAGAAATCTATAAAAGGAAATGTAAAGCGATTACATAGCTTTTTTTTTGTTTATTTATTTATTTACATTTTACAATTTGTCCGGTAGGACATTTGGTAAAATATTATAGCTTAGTGGTATAATAATATAACATATGGATGGCCATCCCCAGTGGGATACTATCTTCGAATTTGATTGATTTATTTCTTTAGCGCGGTGAGTGCTTGTATGTTATGTCGTTTGTGAGATCTGTTGGGTGTTTCCTTTTTAATCTTCTTTTTATGTTTGATGCGCCCACCGTTTCCGCTGCCAGCCGGTTTGGGTGCGTTGCTATTCTTTCTCTGTACCTTCTTGCACATTTGCTAATCTCCTCCTTGACCGTTGGTATTCCCAGGTCTTTCCGAATGTCTTCGTTTCTAACGTACCATGGCACGTTTGCTATTGTTCTGAGTATTTTAGATTGCATTGCCTCTATTTTGGTTATATGGCATTACATAGCTTAGCGCGTGGGACGGGTGTAGCCGCGAGAAAAGTGGAAAAGGTCAGGAAAGGAAATGCGTAATACTCAAGGATACCAGGCTCGACGATTTTCTACGCAGACACCCTCGAACCGACATCGGGGAAAACGAGACTCGTGCAACCAATTCACCGTCTACCCGGCGCACACGAGTCGCATAGGGTAATGCAATATAACATGTGGAAGAGGGTGTCTCCTAGCAACCCTATGTCTTCTCACCCCATTCTCTAAGCTTCGCCCTAAAACACCCTAAATCCGTCGGTTGCACGCCGACACCGCCGCGAAACTTTCTCTACGTGTTTTCGCAGGTGTCTCCTCTGGTGATGCTGATGCACTACCTTTTACAGTTTCTTCGAGTTTGTTTCGAGCATCGAGGGGGTAAGTTTTGCGGTGGCGAAGAATTTTACAAGTAGAATCTGAGACCAATCTTATGGCCAGGCATACGTTGGGTATGGATAACGGTGGATAATTGTATTTTATGGCGTGGATATATCTTTGCCTTCGTACGAATAACAAATCTAGTATTAGGTTGTCCGAAAAGATTCTTTCTTTTGATAAGGTGATAATAGATGAACAACGATTTCTGTTTTATATTATTTGATCGAATTACGTGTGATCCATCTCGTTCTATTTCTATTATTACGTTCGTGCATAATTCAATAAACTAATATAAAACGAAAAACATTGTGCGTCTATTATTTCCTTATAAAAGAAACTTTGCGGACAACCTAATACTTTTAAGGCGTTCGATAGCGTATCGTGTTTACGATTAGCGTAGAATCATAATTCTCCGTAAACGAAAACCTTGTGGCTTTAATTTTGTACTTTACGTCAATTACAAATTTCCTCCCTGATATTTAATCTTCTTCTATTTCATGCAATTCAAACGGCGATACATATATCGTCGAAAAATAAACTTTGGTCTAGTTCCCTAAATTCTAAATCATCGTACTCAGTCATTTTCGTCAGCATCGTTTCGATTGAAATCAAACAAACAACCGAAAGATTGTCACGGTCGAGTCTTCTTTTCTATTCTTATTCCTCTTTCTGTCTATCTGTCTGTCTGTCTCTGTCTCTCTCTCTCTCTCTCTCTCTCTCTTTCTTGCTGTTTTATTCACTCAGTCAGTCGACGAGCTAACTTACGCGAGAAGATTGGAAAAGTGGAAGCGTGTCGACCCTAAGGGCTGCCGCGCTCGCGTCGATTGTTTCGCCCCCGGTTCGCCGAGGCTTTTCTTCGATTATCGAGCGCAAACGAGTTTCGATTTTCAGCTAGGGGAGCCGTGAAACTTCACAAATGCTTTTCTTTCAGTTCGACTAACGAACACAGTCACGCGAGTGTACACAAACGCTCGGTTATACGGGGTGTTCGCGTCTACTTGATGATTCCTCTCGTCTAGCAAGCAGCTTTCAACTCGCAGCGCAACGTCGTACGCCGCGAGATTTTATTTAATCTCTACTCGAAACAGCTTGCACTTCCTTTGACGCGAACCCTTTTCCCTACCTTTTCGCCCCTATCCTTCTTTCTCTTTTCGTTTTCATTTTTTACGTTGCTTGATTTTCTTCGCGCTGATCGATGTAGATCGATCGAGTCGTTGTTGCGTTTCTAGAGAAACGAAGGAAAAGGGTGAAGGTCGCGGAAGCCGTATAACTGCGATGGTAAATGGAGAAACAGGTTTTCGTGAAAAGGGGAAACCAGTGGAAGCCAAATAATAGCAATTTGTAAGTCGGAAGATGAAAGAGTACCGATTGTATCGTGATTTTATCGCGAACTTCAATTAATTAATACTCGTATGTAATATTACCAATATCGACACCTGTCTCGTAGAACCAATCTTTATCGTAGTATGAATAACATGTCAATTTATCAAGCTTCCAGGATTTCCTCGCTTTTGCTTTTTTACCTGCTGCAATGAAATCGTTCGCATTAGCAAACCATATTTTTGATTCAAGACGATAATTCTCGCTTTCGATAATTTCCTCGCGGCTTTTCAAGTTTGCTTGATTCTCCGTACATATTCTAATATTTATAAACTACGCGATTGCGCCTTATTTACTATCTTTCAATAGTTGATTCTGTAATAACAATTGAAAATGGCGTAGATTGTAAAAAGAGAGAGGCAATGAAATAGCACAAAGAAATCGTTAAGTCAACGAACGAAGGAAAGTCTTGAATCGATAAAACTTATCTAACTTCGCATCAAATAGAAAATATCTGAACAAGGGTCATCCTTTATCCTCCGACTCCTTCGATTCCTCTACTTCCATAAAGAACAGTCAATCGTCAGTCTCGTGGAACAGAACACCCCGTATATTGTCCACACACTGGTATTCATCGAGGCGTTTAGTGTTTGCACGCAGGGGGTTGAAGAACGAGAGAGAGAGAGAGGGAGAGAGAGAGACGGTCTCGCGAGCGTGTCAGGATTTCCCCTTTCTTCACGCTGGCACAATTATCATGATCGTTAATTTCGTGCGTTCTCTCTTTCTCTTTCATAGACGCACACACGCTTCTTCCACAAACCCGAAAATACACGCAGAAACATTTCACCGACATGTTGCCAGTTGCAAACGAAAAGCAACGCGCCGGTTACATTGTTGCACGCCGGTAGTCCCACTTTAGGCGGTTCTGCCTTTGTCGCGTGGATACACGTTGCCTTCTGTATGAGCTGGAACGATCGATAAAATCGTACGTTTCGTTGTTGTGTCCTGCCTGTGCATCCGGCCACGTCGTCGTTCTCTTTGTTAAACAGGACAACAACGACAGAGAGCGACAAATAACGCCGAAACAATTCCGCTTCTCTTTTTCGAACGTTCGCCCGTTCGTCTGATCGGCGATTCGGTTTTAAGGGTTAAAGGAATAAGAAATGGGGATTGTCGCGTGTTACACAATTCTGGTTACAATTTCAACATCGTTTTCAATGCTTCTCGCAAATAATTAACGGTTGCCTTTCATACCGTTGCTACTACGCAAACAGATGCGGTTGACTCGTGGTCAAACGTACATTTCCGAATCATCCCGCGCCTAAAGGACCGCAGGTAGAAATCTTGACCTTTCCCCGTTGGGAGCATCGCAACTGAACCAATAACCGTCATCCGTATGCGTTTCGCAATCGATCGATCGGCATTATATCGATGCGACTTATCGCGTAGTATTATAATATTTATATTATGTATTATATTAGTATTATTATATTATATATTATATTTTATATAATAGTATTATGTAACAGAGATTCGCGAAGACTCGAAACTCTTTCACACATCTATCTCTTACTTTATAAATTTTATATATTATTTTATAAATGCAATCTCGAACGATTTCAAACTTCCGAGAATCTCGTACAAGTTGAAAAAATCTCCGGCTACAATTCTCGACCAGATTCCGCAAAATCTAAGGAAACCGTCTATGTATCTGGAATATGTCCTTTTGAAAAACGAATTCCCAACGCAATCGACCTGAAACACATCGTATTCGTCCAATCGATCGTGAACCGGTATGTCCAGCCTGTAACTCGGCCTAGTGTAAGTGGATTGAAATCTCGGCGAGCGTTTCGTACTCGGCGACGCCAGACGCCGCGTGCACGACGACGACGACGACGACGACGACGACGACGCTCTTCGTCTGGACGCCAGTCGTCCCCTCTGTCTACCACATCGACGCGGGATTGATCGCGTACACGGTAACGCCGGCGAGAAAGAAGGAAGCCCACCACGTTTGCCAGCGCGCGGACAGAGGCCGATTCGGCATGCTCGTAAATATTTAATGGAGATTCGCCGCGGGAATCCTATGATGGTGGATGAAACAGGCACGCGTAATACAAGAGAACACGTTGCACAAAGAGGAGCGGTTTCGATGCTCGAATTTTCTCTATCTTTTCGATTTACACCCCCTTCCTCGCTTTTTCTACTTTCTTTTTCCCTCTTTTTCCTGTTTATTCTTTTCCCCCATTATTCGTCCGCTGTTACTTCTTTTCTGTCTGGCAATATTTGGCAGTGGCGGTCGATGAATGAACGAAAACCGCTGGTCTTTCTTTCTTTGTGCGATTTAACCGTGATACCGTGAGCCAGTCGCGACTACCCACTCTGTTGCCTGTTTGGGTTTGTCTTCCTCTCTATCCTTTGGTACTCTGATGGACGCTGCGAATACACCGCGTCGACAGAATGGAAGAGACTGGCGGTTGAGTATGTTTGGGAGGAATTTCGAGAATAGACACGGTAGGTTGATTTTGTTTGGCAGATGGAAATAGGGATAGTTTGTGTTTGTATGGGAAAGCGAGTCAAATATTTGGCGATTAGAATAATAAAAGAGATGCGTGGAGATAAATCGAACGATGCAATGAAAATTTTGGTAGACTTTATAATATTCCATATCCAGTACCTTTAAATATCGCACAGTAGACATGTAGTATCGTGGAAAAAGAAAGGCCTGTGGCGGCACTCGATAGCAAATACCACACTAACTAGTCTTGGACGACTGCAGCGCAGTGGTTAGCGCCTTAGGTTGCGAACGTTCGGAA